AGAAGCTCAGACTCATTCCGTGACACCTGCGATCTTTTTGATTCTTCAGAGAGTCCAAGAGTGAGTGGGACAGAAAACCTGGTTCTGCTACATATTATTCAGATAGAAAAGGCAGAAGTGATGATGTCGGAAGACAGATACTTAGAAGGAAGGTGATCCTGAGCACAGGGGAGAGACTGGCCTACGAAGGAAGAGGCATGGCTGTGTGACGGCTGGAAAGACGGATGCTTGAAACCAATATCCTGTTGCCCTGCAATTTGTCATGATGTCAGGGAGCAGGATGTGGCTATTGGTGGGGATGGCTGGGATGTGACAGAGGAAAAAGTCACTGGGGACAAGGAGACCATGGAAATAAGGGAACAGAGAGTGAGGTGAATCTTTCAGGTGGCACTAGATCCAGATGGGGAACAAGACCACCAAACCCAGAGGACGGCAGATGGCAGAGACCCAAAGGATGGCAAGACAAAGGCAAGAGGGTGGTACAGCTCAGCAGTGGGCAGGATTTTGCAGCTAGAGAAGAAGACATGGCTCAGAAGAGACAATGCATTGAGATCAAGGAGACAATGGAGCATGAGAGGAAGCCCAGCCTCTGCTTGAGATGCTAGGGAGAAGCAGGGCCTAGAGTAGTCAGCTTTCAATTAGGGCAAAAGGGTGGCAGACTCTTCCACAAGCAGTTTAGGATTTAGAGGAACTTGACAAATAAGGCACAGGGGTGCCACAGGCTACAGTGGAAGGTCTGGGAAGGAGGGAAGGCCAGGGGTTTGAGGGGCTGGATCCAGGGGCGTGCAGAGCAGTGTGAGCGCACGGAGCGGCATTTTATGGATGTAATCATCTGTCTGTGTTTGCTAATGTTTCAGTAGACCAAGAGAACTAGGTCAACCTTAGATAAGGCAGGGATGAGAGACTCTGAGATTACAGAGAACAGATGTCAGCTTTAGCATCTGTGTAGCCCGCGTAAGCTGAAAAGATTAAGAACAGATAGCAAGCGTGGGCCCTCATCCTTATGGGGTACACATGGCATCGAGGGAGGGGAGGAAGCCCAGAGGCAAAACCTCCTTAGACTTACAAGCACCCAATACAGTTGGATACAGCTGAAGGGATGAGTAAAAATACAGAATCAGGATCAAACCCAACGGAATAACACAGAATCTTTATTCTCTGCACAAAGACCTGTCTCTGAGATTCTCCATTCTTGACAGTTAACACCATTCTGTACAGATCGTCTCCGGTGACTGAAGTGGGTGCTGTGGGGCACTACCACCCCCACCACTCAAACTGAAGCCTGGTTGCCCAGGGGCTGGAGCACGGCTGCTGAAGGCTCTCAGCTGACCCCTTCCTGGGAATTTACTCCAAGAGGACCTGGGGGGAGGACAGCACATGTACCGTGGCTGATCCGGGCTGGCTCTCAGTGTGGGATATCTCTGAAGGGCCAATCCAACTTCAGAGCTCTTACTTCGGGGCCAGTGAACTCATGGACAAAAACCAAAGGGAAACGTCATTTCTTCTTCCCTTTTCGGAGAAGCCTTTATTTTCGGGGGCTGAGCTTCCCTTTCTCCAAACAGATGTGAAAAGCTTTTTGCCTTTCAGGGTCGAGATCTTAGGTTGGAGGGTCTGGCCCACCTGGGGATTAGACTGGAGTGCCTCCATGGGGGAGAAGGTGCAGTGGGAGTCTGAGTTGAAGAGGGTCATGGGCCAGCCCTGGAGGTGGACATCCTGACTGCGGACAAGAATGCTGAGAAATGGGGTGTCCTCTGGGCAGTGGAGGCCTGCACCCTACCCTCACGTGGTGAAACCTTAGAAGGGAGGGCTGCATGGACAGGTACTAAGGGTTGTGATGCTGAGAGAATCTACAGGACCAGAAACCTCTGGGCGTGGGGTGCACTGCTCCCCTGAGTACCTTCTATCAAGATGGCACCCTTTCAACAATTTTTTTTTAAAGATTTCTTATTTATTTCCTTTATCTCCCCAAAGTCTCCCAGTACATAGTTGTATATTCTTAGTTGTGGGTCCTTCTAGTTGTGGCATGTGGGATGCCACCTCAGTGTGGCCTGATGGACGGTGCCATGTCTGTGTCCAGGATCCAAACCAGCAAAACCCTGGGCCACTGCAGCAGAGTGCACGAACTTAACCACTTGGCCACGGGGCTGGCCCCCACTTTCAACAATTTTTAAGGAGATATGTTGACATGGCATTTGTTAAAAATATAATTTAAAAAACACACTTTAGTGCAATAGGTTTCAAACTACTATGCATCATGAGAATCACCCGGACCGTTTGCTAAAAGGCAGATTGCTGGGCTCCACCTCCAGTTTCTGATTCAGTAGGTCTGGGGTCCGGCTGAAACGTGCATTTCTAACAATTTCCCACGTGATGCTGATGCTGCTGGTGCCCAGAAACAGTGTCTTAGAGAAAACAGGATGGAAGTGAGACAACGAGACACATAGGAACACAGTCCCAAGCTGTGTATTCATTCTATGTTTGCTTGCTCAGCAGCCAGCTGGGGCCTCTCCCCTTTATCCCTCAGCTCGTGCCCCTAGTGTAAGATTTTGGCTCTGCATCTCCCTGGATGGTGTCTGGCACTCTGTGGACCCGTGGAGGCAGGTCCTCAGTGGAGCTGCCAGCCCTCACAGGAACCATGCTGTCCTCCGGGAGGAGCCAGGCTGTTGAGTTTGGTTGTGCAGTTTGTAAAATGCACAAAGGTGACCAGCAGAGGGCGAGAGTGGGGCTGAAGTTCAGCAGGTGCCCCACTCACCCAGCTGGGCACCTGGAGTGGACTGCACCTGCCCTTTGCATAAAAGGGCCTCTGCCCCTCAAACCATGCACCGTCTTGGAGGGAGAGGGGAGGGTGTTGTGCCCACCCAGAGAGGGGTCCTTTTCCTAATTTGCATAGAGGCCAAGTGTAAGCTTGTAGAATCCTAAGCAAAGTGGGAATGCAGCTGAAGAGGCTCTTTTTATGGCCCCCAAAAGCTCCTGGGGTGCAGGTGTGAGTCTGTGAGAAGGATGAGGCTTCCTCAAAATGAGGGACACCAGACTGGCTGAGCCAGTTTCAATTATCTTTAGAAAATAGAGTCATGTTCTGTTTCTCGCACCTGAGCACATGACCTCTTGTTATCAGTGTCTGCGTCACCTGGGTGGCTGAGCCCAGGGGGTCCCCGCTCCTAGCAGCATGAGCAGGACCAGGGAACCTGTTACAATTGCACATTTTGGGCGCCCCCCTCCGCCCCCACAGCCCTGCAGGATCAGCCCCAGCCGTGTGACCCAGCTGGCTGTGTTTAACAAGCCCCCCACCCCAGGTGATGCTGATGCATGCCAGAGGCTGAGACAGACGCCGGCGTACAGCTTTTCACCTCCAACAGATGAAAAGCCAGGGCTTGTGGGGAGTGAGAGAGGGGCCAGGGACATTATTTTAAGTGTGTTATTCCTTGTTTAAACAGGGCCTCTGGGACCCCTGCTTCCCTTTCTCGGAACAAAAACGATTACAGGTGGCAAACGCAGGCTGCTTCCGCCGTGTGGAGCGGGCAGGCCCGAGGCGGCTCCCTCCGGCGGCTCCAGCTTCTCGCTCCCGACCAGTTCCAGCCTAGAACTGGCCTTTTGACTTCAATATTTTCACCTCTTTAAATCTTTTCACCCTTCTCTGTTTAGTCCTGGACTTCCATTTTATCATTTAACCTGATAACCCACATTTTGGGTTGTCATAGAAAACAACATCCCGCTCTGTTAGCCTGGAGGGTCCTTTCGGGCTCCAGCAAAGGCGGCAGGCGGTGCCCAGAGTCTTCCTCAGTGCGTCGGGGCTCCTCTGGGATGGCTGCGCAATGGCCATCCCTTCGTTTGTAATGGAGAGGAGGCCGGGAGGGGGATGGAGTGACTACCCTGCTTTCAGGCCTCATTGCAACGGGGTAGATTTGCCATTGGCAGCCTTAAATGACTTGGACAAAAATGGTGTAATTTTTTTCATGTTCCAATGGCCATAGTTTCAAGGTCAGAATCAGGACGAACCGGTCAGCAAAATAAATTTTCTTGATTATAATTCTTAAGTAAGGTTTTGAAAACACATATTTCCTGTGAATAACAGAGCCGAAATTTACTTTGCCAATGAATATTGAAGGAGAATGCTGTTTGAAATTATACAGAAATTTCACAACAGCTTTAGAACGGGTAAGTGGGGTTCTATAAGCTAAATCAAATTTACAGACAAAAAAAATATTGCCAACTCTCTTTGGAAATTTGGTATTAAAAAAGAATGCATTAGAATAGGAGAAGAAATATTCCTTAAACCCATAGTTTCAATTTATGGATCAATGTTATAGGCAAGCACTTGAAAAATGTCGGCACAGAATTGTTAGCCATAAATCTTATTTCTTGCTGATTCACCCGTTTGTAATCAACGCTTCTTTGACAAAATGGTTCATCAATGTCAAAAAATAAACCTGGTTATTTCCTTGAAACGCTGATGTGAAACTACTCGGAGAAAAGGCAGTTCTAGCCCCCGACTGCCAACGCTGGTGTGTCCCAGGATCCCGTTAAAGTGGAACGTGTTTGTCGGCACAGTATGGTCGCCTGCTGGGCATGGTCTGATTCCCTCCGCCTTCTAAATGAGTAGGTTTTCAATTTACTATCTGGGCACTGAAAGGAGGGCTTACGGTTAGTAGTAATTACAGTTGGTAATGTGCACGATCTAAAACAAAAGAATCTGGTGCACTTTCAATGAAATTATTTTAATTCATTGACTTCTCAGAAAATTTCAGTCCTGGCCATCTATTCCAGGAGCATGCAGTAGGTGGCACCTAAAAGCTCTTTGGAGGCGAGCAGGCGCCATTTAAGCAGGAGCAGCCGCCGCTGCAGCCGTTGGCACAGATGAGAAGTCAGAGATTGCAGGGGGCGGCGGAGGAGGAAGGCCGGGGGCCGGCGGGGCGGCTGTGACCGCGCCAGGCCCGCCCGGGCTGGGCGGCGCAGGTGCGCGGGGGCGCGGGGCGCAGGTGCGCGCGGGGCGCGGGGGCGCGGGTCGCTCGGGCGGGCGAGCAGCTGACAGCATCGTCACGGCGGCGCGAGGGAGCGCGCGCCCCGCCTGCCTCCGGGAGGAGCCCGCATCCGCACAGCCTGCGCTGGCCTGTCCTATGCGAGGCGAGCTTGGCAGAGGCGCGGAGCGGACTTCTTCCTCAGGTAACCGATGCCCCCTCCTTTGCTGTGGCTTCCCTGCGTCCGCAGTGGGGCACTGACGGCGCTGGCATTCTTGTTCGCCAGCCCTGAAAAGGGATTGCCACTATCTGGGTGGGCGAGTCAGCAAAATAAATATTGGAGTTGGCAAGGGGAAAAAGCTGCATTTCTGTATCTTTGTCAGGGAGTGTGAGCATCTTGATACCTTTGTCTAAAACATGTTCTTTAAAAAAATAACCTATATCTTACACATTGTTTGGGATCCCTTCCAAAACAGGAATTAGCGTTTTAGAAAATTCTATGGTGCAGGTGTTCCTGTTAATGTGGAAGTTGATTTGATGGGTTTACGAAAGTCATAAAAAGATGTGGCCGAAGGAAAGATGCGGAGCACGTTAGCCGCTGCTGTCTTGTTCAGCGTGTTTTCCTGCTAGACCGCAGCCGTTCATGGGCTTGGCCGAGACTTGGCTGAATGTTCTAATTCTTCTTTTAAAAAAGATTGCGTTTCGTGATATCTACGTGTGTTTCTTCCTGTATCCTTGTTGTCAGAGCAGGATGCAGGAGAGGCACAGCATCCCGTCTTTAGTTGTAAGAATGTGGTTCCCATAGATGACAAGGACTGCTGACAGCTCCCGGGCTCACCTGCAAAGCTTTGCTGGCTTCTCGCGTGGTGGGGACCTGCCTGAGTTGTCTGTCCTGAAAAATGCTGTTTTTCTCTTTAAAACTCCAATGCATGCACGTTCTGTGGGGATTTGGGTGACTTCTACAGGAGCAGCTCTGTGAATCGTGTTATAGCCATGAACGGTGAAATACAACGTTTGGGATTCAGCGTCTTGGACTGTGCGGTGGCACAACTTACCTTCCCTAGGAATTTATCCTACGTGTTTGCCTTCTTATCTTTTGAACAATCCCCTTCCATGTGAGAAGCTAGTCTTAGCTTAGGGACCTTTTCTGCTTTGAACTAAAAACTTTAAAAATATTCTTTTTAAGGGTGATTTTGTAGGTAACAATAAAAGGCTGGAGCATTTTACATTCCAGATCAGTCCAAATGTGCTGCTTCTCCAGTGGCATTTGGCTTCGAAGAGGTGGAGTGGGAGGGAGAGAAAAGGGGAGGATAAAATCTGAATAAATTTAACAAATTTGTGGGGGAATCATACTAGTTTTTCAGTTGTCTGAAATTGCAAATTGCCAACAATTCTGTTTCTGGAAATGCTGGAGGTCCTGTGTGGCGCAGGAAGACCCATAGTTCATCTTATAGAAACAGAAGATGGAAGGCAAGGAAACATTTTCATCTCATTTAACACATGGCATTTCATTTGGTATTAGGGATGATGGTCCCTGGGGAACACAGGGAAAGGAGGGGAGAGAGAAAAGTGATTGCCGGCTGTACCACGACACGGCATTGCTGCTCGGTCCTCAGTTCTCTCTGCAGATGGCAGATATATATGCATGGTTATTGCAGAAACCTCCAGAATCTTTTGTTAGAGCTTTAATAGAGTTGTTTCTAAGAGGAGACTCAGAAAACACCCAAATTGAATTCCAAGTTGTGGAAGTCCCCTTTGAGCGTGTGTCTAACAATCTAGCATCCTCAGCCATCAGCAGTGCCGCTTCACCGTGAGAGGAGCAGAGAGGGCTTGGTATTAATTGCATGTTGTACACATCCTATAAACCGCACATGACTTTGTGGGAAATGTATTATTTCAGGGTGAATCCTGGCTCTGCTCTGATGCCTGCACATCTTACTGGGAAAGTAAAGCCTTTGAAAAATAAGGGGGGTTCTTTTATCAAAGAGTGTCTCTGTGATAAGAAAAACATATTGTTCATTCTGCTGATTTGGTGGCCGTAGTTGACATATTAGTATATTAGAAACTAGCCTATTGATTTAGACAAAATCCTCATTTTCTCCCAAGATAAATGCAGTAAATTTTTGCAGTAAGGCAAATTTCTTTGTTACAAAAAAGAAGCATTTGGTTGTCTGGGGTGAGGCGGTTGCCTGCCAGCTGTTTTAAGTTAAAAGGGCTCGGTGCTGCCCTGCAACTTTCAATTCGGATAACCAGTGTGCCCCATTCCCACTAATAAGGTGGACTGGATGGATCTGTCTGTCTGTCATCTATCTACCCATCAACCGTCTATCTTTCTATCTATCATGTATTTCGTATGGGTATTTACAATGGACAGATGTCTCTTTAAAGGAAGACCTGATTTCTGTGCCATTGATTGTTTGTGGTTATAATTTTTATAGGAAAATAGCTCTTCTTAATCCAAAGGGAAGGTGATGGTTGTCATGACACAATTGCTATTGTTCTCTTACAAATTGAATTTACACACGCATGCACATTTAAGGATTAACTTAAAATCATTTCAATGATTTCAAATAATGCTTTAGTTTTTAGTTCATTATGTGGTTGCAAGTCTCTCTTCCTTGACCAGGTTAGTATTCTTTAAAGTACTGGCACAAAGGTCCTCTCATTCCCTCTCCTTTGCTCTCGCTGCTGGCAGATTCCGGAAAGCAAGATTCCTGTAGCTCTCTCTTCAATGCAGTAAGAGCCTCCCTGTCACTCAGTGTTGTCCAGTAGAAACAACGTGGGAGCCACACGCATCATTTAAAGTGTCCTATAGTCACATCAGAAAAATAAAAGTAAACAGGTAAAATTAATTTTAATAAGCATTTGCTTTAAACCAATACATTAAAAATCACCATTTAAAGATGTAACTAATACAAAATACTATTGAGATATTTTACAATTTTTTGTTAAGTCTTGCACTTACAGAACATCTCAGTTTGGATTAGCCATGTTTCAAGAGCTTGATAGCCTGTGTGGCGAGTGGCTGGGGTATTGGCCAGCACGGCTATAGATTAACCTTTCGGCAAAGCAGTGTAAGAGCTGAAAAGTCAGGAGTCAATAAATTAAACCCCTTGAACATTATCAAAAATAAATATACGAATGCTCCTCAGTTGCTGTAAGACCTGTGTCCCGTCCTTCCCTGCCATTAACTAGTGGTACAATTTTGAACCTGTTACTTACGTCTTTATCAGTAAAATGAGAGGATGGGGTCAAATAAGTCCCTGATTCTATGAAGTATAATGAGTGAAGAGACTTAGCACAGGGTCTCCTGTGGCAGAAACAAAGGGGCACTTCTAGGGGTGGGCGTCACCACTTTGGATCAAGTTTGCTTCAGTCCCGTCCAGTTACAGACGTCAGCAAGTGAGCCCCCAGGTCCCATTAGCAGTCATTCCATTTCCATATTTCAATTGCTTTATTGGGCAAATAGCAGCAAACATATTGTAAAATCGATAAACAGCTGGTGAGCTAGTATTTACTGGGTGATTGAAGATGCTTCACACATCTTTCCACGTTATCCTTCACTGGTATGTGTGTTTTCGATGTTTCTATCTATTTCAACACCGTTGGATAAAGTTTGGAGAAATGTAGTGCTTTATCATTGACTGACTCGTGAATACTGACTCCTTGAAATGCAGAAATGCAGGACCTTAGGGAAAAGGTGTCAGTGTCTCCACCCAGTCCCCAGATAGCCTCTGTGATCAATGGGTGCTGGAGGGGTGGGTACCATTTCCATCACACGGGCTCTCATCCTGGAAATCACAATGGGAGATTTAAAGAGAGCGGCGTTTTGTATGAAAGGAATTTGTGCAGTGTTTTTCTGAAGCTAATTAGTGTCTGGAAAGTGATTGTTTTTCTGGGGAAATAGGAGAACACAGGAGCTTCCCATTAGGACTTGCCATAATAGTCTCTTTCTCTCCTCCCTTACCTTCTGAAGCTGGGCTCCAGAAGGGATGCTCCCCAGAGCTCGGCCAGGAGCCCTTGCACGGGGAGGCTTTCCTTCCTATGTCATCTTTACACTCCCGTCGTTTTATTGGGGCACTTCTGTGACTTTTGAGTGTGGTGTTTATTGTTGGATGATACTGAGCAAAAAGGGAAAGTGATCAGTGTCCAGGTCCCTGCATCCAGAGCAAAGCCAGGAGTCACTCAGCTCTACAGGAATCTGGCTGGATGGCGTTTTCCTTTTTGTATAAACTTGGACTCATCTCCCCAACTCTACCACCCAGCTGCCTCTCCCCGGGCCCCCAATTACACATACATGCCTAGGATCATTGCCTGCTCGCCTAGGAAATAGTCCCCTGAGATTTAAAGAAAGGGGCCTGTGGACTAGTCCCCTCACTTACAGAGGACTGTGCTTCTCTTTTGATGCCTTTTTGAACTTCTTTGGGTTCTTGACCACAGAATGAATGGGTGGGCACCGCAGAGTGCAGAGTGGCATTCCTGTTTTAGTAAGATCCGTGTAAGTCTTGACAAGCCAAGAGGAGGTTGCAACTGTTGAATGGTAGAAATGACTGGGTGACGTAGATTTTGAAAAGAACCTAAATTTCCCAGAATATCATGACAACCAAATGTTTGTTTATTTTTGATTTTCCCAGATAGATTTACAGATGACACTCCGTGCATCTCTTCTTCATTCTTCCATACTTTTGAGTGTTAGTTTAAATTCCTCTGAATATATTGACGATTTCAGATGGAGAAATAAATCAGGTTGTTGGAGCAAATATTTAAACATAAAGAATAAAGTTGTAAATCTAGGAGAATTATGATTTCTTTCACCTGCTCCCAACGGTGTATGAGGGCTATTTCCTCACACCTAACATAGTCCAGTGCGTTATCAAATGCTTTGATCCTCTCCAAGGTAACAAGAAGTCTGTTTCTCATTACTCATTTAATTGCATTTATTTGTGTCACATTGAGCATCTTCTCATATGTTAAAAGTAATTTGCATCTTTGGGATCTGCATGTTCTGCCCTCTGCTCACTTTCCCCTTAGTTTACAAGGATGGTATTCATCCTGGGTAAGGCTGTGGGTCTCCACTGTGCTCGGCAGACCTCACCATTCCCTCACCCGGGACAGGGCTGGATCCGCTTGGGCCCCACTGAATCTGTGTCTCCGGGGTTGAACCCAGCAGTCTCAGGTGACTGGATGCTCACCAACTTTGAGACCCACTGTATTAAGGAAATTAGAACTCATCTGAAATAGGTTGTAAATATTTGTTTCTAGCTGTCATTTGTCCTTTGATGTGGTTTATTGTTTGTTTTTTTCTGAACAGAAATTTAAAATCTCGTATGTAGCCAAATTTAACAAAGTAAAAGTAAAAAAAGTAATTTTGGAGGGCACCTGGTGATCCCTATGAAATTTAAAATGCACATACTCTTTGATCTAGCAGTTCCACTAATGGGAATTTATTCTACAGATAGACGCAAAAATGTGCTGAGGTATTTATGTTTAAGGCTGTTTGTTAATCAAAAAAAGCACTTAGTGAGAAACTGGTTGATAAATGATGAACCAGCTCTCTGGGGAGTCCTATGCAGTTGTTAAAAAGCACAATATGGCGGTGTATGTACTGACATGGACAGATGTACGTGAAACGCTGTGGACACTGCACTCCCGTTTGTCTTTCTGGCTTTCTCACTAATTAGCTAGTGGTTGATATCTGTCTCTCTTTGACTTGATACCATTTTGTTAACACCCGACTGTGATGCTGCTTCCTTACCATTGACTGCTCAACTTGTAACTCACATGGTAAATGTTTCATTACCAACCCTCCTTCCCATCCTATTTAGCTCTTGGAAAGAGGCTATTTCTGGTGATTGAGACAGAAATGATATTGAGTAAGTTGCCATTGTGAATTAATGTGGAACGATGAGCCCAACCAAGTTAATACCTTGGAAAAGCATATGACTTTGTCTTTTATTGTTTTGCATTTCCAAACATGAGATATTGTTGATATTTGCACTGGTAACTTTCTTGTGCTATTTTCATTCTTCCATGGACGTTCTAAGAATTTTCTGTCTTGAGATTATCCATCTCTGTCCTTTAGGACAATTCTAGATTCCAGTGAAGCTGTTCCACATGGAAACACAAGCCATGCTGGGGCTCTACAGCCCTGAGACAGCCAGTGCGACCCAACCCTAACTGTAGGCCTTGTGCTAATTGGGAACTGTGCTAATTAGAAATCTGTACTAATTGGGAATCGTGAGTCTTTATTTTACCCCAGCATTGAAAGGTGCGTGAATCCTAAGCATTTTCATGTCACCACCTTTCCTTCTCCTAAGACCTGCAAAGACCAGCAAAATCAGAGCTCCTACTCCAACTCCAGTCTCCTGTGGCCTGGGCGGTTATTGGTCAGCCTTGTTAGGCCTCTTTGCCCGTGGTGTTAGGGCTACATTAAAATAATGACGGAAACACCCTGTGACGTGAGTATGACCCGTGTTTTTCTGCAAGCGGGTGTTATATTGACCACTTGGTGTGGTTGCTGAGGGTACAGCTTTTGGTGTGGACCTTTTATGAGGCATCTAAGATTTTTTTGATGAGTCATAGAACATACACAGTCATTCATTATTAGCTGCCTAACATCATTGTTGCACTTCTTAAATTAATATGATACCGGTCTGGAAGTTGCTTGGCAATATTGCAGGTCAGCATAAAGTGCTTCCTTCCTCAGTGTTGCAGAGTCAGAGCTCCTGTTCAGTGGTTGCTAACTTGGATTGGCCTGAATGCCTTTCCCGGCTTCCTAAACCTGAGTTGAAATGCAGGTTCTGCCACTTATCGGCTCTGCAACAGTGCACTGTGGCTTTAACCACCCAGAGTCTAGCTCCCTCATCTGTAAAATGGGGCTATTAATACCTAAATCAAAGATGTTTTGAAGATCAAGCTTGTCTCAACACTTGCTAGAGGGTCAGGATTCCGGGGTGTGAGGGTGGTTGCCATCTGAGCAGCCTCACAACGGTTCCCCTCTCTCCCCGTCTCAGATTTATTCTCCTTTACAACCTGGCGTGAAGCCCAACGGCTCATAGTTGCTCTTTGCTTCTGGATGGATTCCTGGCCTCCAGCGTCAAACTTTCCTCATCTACCTAGTATGCGCACTCTCCAATTAATCTTAAAATATTGACTCTTTTTCTTTACATCTTTCTCTTTGAGCCAGACCCACGGGGACTCCCCATCTCGTATCTGGTTAAATCTGCATTCCTTCTTTCACTAGTGCTCTTTTCCTCTGTTCCTTGCCCCTGCTCATCTCCCCACAGGCAGGTCCGACTCTGTAACTGAATTCACACTGTTTTCAATATGCAAGAGTATCCCCTGCTTGAGATTTTTGTTGTTCTAGACTGGAGCTGTTCATCTGTGTCATGACTCTAGGGGTCCTGGGCTTGACTGGGAGCCTGCTGAGGGCAGGTGTTGCTAAGGACTATCTGATGTTATGTGTCTTTGGGTTCTGGACACATCAGTAGCTACAGCCTTTTATAGCGCATTGTGCTGAGTTTCCTAGTAACCACAGAGCAGACACAAATAAATACTCATTGATTAATGGTTCACAGCTCCTGACTGTACGCCCTTGCCTTTCTCACTCCATCAGCTTCTGACCTCCTGGGTGTTCTCGTTTGCTTTGCAGGGGCATTGGCCCCTAGTTCCGTGTCCTTCCTCAGCCTATGTTCACATGCCATCCAGGGCGACTTTAGTCTTTTTCCTCCAGTCCTTGTAAGGGGCACACCCACAGTCACAGTGAGAGGGGATTTGGTCAGCCCGGATCCTCTGCCACATCCAGAGGGACAGTGGAGCATCCCTGCCTGACCACAGCATCCC